GACCAGCTGATATATGTCGACGGTAGGGTTGTGGCTCGGTGACCTTCAGTTCCCACAGCCCAATGGTCCCACAGCCCTATGTTCCCACATTTCTAAGATTTTTTTTTTCAGGATTAGGGTTAAAAATGTGGGAACTGTGGGAACATAGGGCCTAATTTTGAACAAAATCTTAGAAATGTGGGAACATAGGGCTGTGGGAACATAGGCACGCTCCCGACTTTCCCCATCCTAGCTAATGCTACTGCTACTGGAGAGCTTGGACAAACAACTCCCTATGGACATACCCAGCGTCACTTTGGCTTATATTGGTCGGTGGAGGACGTTTGTACCACTGCCCCTACCCATAACGGAAAGTAGTGAGTACTGTATATCGCAAAAGATGAATGTTATGCCCCACTAGCGTTTGGCTAACTAGCCCGCTAGCTAACATCGTAGCTAACAGTGTTAGCACATGGAAGAAAACTTTTGAACATTAAAGACTCTACTTTGAACCTTTGCCATTGAACTGCACCCCTGCGCTTATATAGATATATGTTTATTTGAGCCCTTGCATGCCTGGTAACTTGCTGTTATGTGTGACAAAAAAGATCCCAAGCATCGGGCTAAAATTAATCCTACAGAGCATGTCCCCAGTGTAGCCTTGACCTCGACCACACCCGCAGGCAGGGAGGGTCCACCCCCCCCTTAGAAATGTTTATTAAGGCCCTTGATGGATTGAAACAAGACATATATGATACATTGGGCTCAAAGATTGACTCATTTACCAGTACACTGCGGTCTGAAATGAAATGAAATTCTCCCCCTCTGTGGCCAAGAAACGCTTAGAGTTTGTGGATGCTAAGCGTCGTCTGCACACCTGCCCAGGCGTCAAATCCTTCCTTCCTTTTTGATTTACTTACTAATTAACATTCCTAATACCATGCAAAAAGTCAGTTCTTACTTAGCCACTTATTTCATTTGTACATGTCTTTATTAGTAGACTTTTGCAGTAAACGATTGCATTACATATTTTCTTTTTTCTTTTCACTCATTACATATGCGGCATGAAAATTGCCACTTTCTTGGCCTGTAATGCAGCCTTTGTTAGCCACTAGGTCTTCAATTTTTTTAGGAAGAGCCCAGGGGCTTGTAATGGGCATTCCACCTTTCATAGCAAACCCAGAGGTGCCGCCATTCTGATCCACAAATCCGTACCTTCTGACGCAGATCACCTCTCTCTCCGGTCCAGTTTCAAGGAGTCTTCAAGGATTTAGCAAACAAAGATGGCAAAAGATGTCCCACGCGAGCCGGAGCAGCTTCGCAAGCTGTTCATTGGAGGTTTGAGCTTCGAGACGACAGATGAAAGCCTGC